ATTCAACATTATAAAATTACTAGAAGAAAACTCAGGATAAATGCTTCACAACATTGGTCTAGGCAATGGTTTTATGGCTAAGACTTCAAAAGCATAGGCAAAACCCCCCAAATAGACCATTGAGACTACAGTGAAATAAAAACCTGCAAACAAAGGAAGCAACCAACAGAGTGAAGAGGCAATCTGAAGAATAGGTATAAGTGTTTTTGAATGAGTCATCCAACAAGGGACTAATATCCAGAATATACAAGAATCTCAAACAATAATACAAAACAAATAATCTAATTAAAGATTAAATCAAGGATCCAAAGAGACATTTGTCAAAAGAACATGCACAAATGGCTAACAAATGGATGAAAAAAATATTCAACATCACTAATTATCAGGGAAATGCATATCAAAACCACTGTGAGATACCATCTCGCATGTGTCAGAATGGCTATCATTGAAAAGTAAAAAATGTAACAGGTTCTGGTGAGGCTACAGAAAAAAAGGGAATGCTTATATACTACTTGTGAGAATGTAAGTTAGTTCAGCCACAGTGAAAAGCAGTTTGGTGATTTCTCAAAGAACTTAGAACTACCATTTGGCCCAGCAATCTCATTACTAGGTATATACCCAAAAGAAAATAAATTGTTCTACCATAAAGACACCTGTATGTGTATATTCCTTGCAGCACTATTCACAATAGCAAAGACAGAAAATCAATCTAAATGCCCATCAGTGGCAGAGTAGATAAAGAAAATGTGGTACACATACACCACGAAATCCTTCCAGCCATTACAAAGAATGAGCTAATGCTCTTCACAGCAACATGGATGAAGATGGAGACCATTATTCTCAGTGAACTAACACAGGAGAAGAAAACCAAACATTGCATGTTCTTACCTCTAAGTGGGGGCTAAACACTTAGTACACATGGACAAAAAGAAAGGAACAACAGACACCAGGGCCTACTTGAGGCTGGAGGCTGACATGAGGATAGGGATTGAAAATCTACCTATCAAATTCTATGCTTATTACCTAGGCGACAAAATAATCTGTACATCAGATCCCTCAACACAGAATTTATCTGTAGAACCAACCTGCACATGTACCACTGAAAGGAAAATAAAAGATAAAAGATTATATTTTAAAAAGAGGCCCCAGGAACCTAGCTCCCCAGGTATATTCTATCTGGGTGGTCTTCAGGTCTGTCTGTAGGTTTCTGTAGATTTGGCTACAAATAGCCAGAACAGGCTTACTCAAGACTGGGTAGACATCAGCATCTGGGCCCATTTTTCTGACCCTAAAGGCCCCAGTAACCCTCAGTGCAGATCTCCCTGGCCTGGCTGGCCTACCTTCCCAGTATCAGGTTCTGTCTCCCACACTTGCAATGTCCCCAACATACCCCGAGGACTCAGACCAAGCCTTGCTGCCTCTCCACTGTCTGCCCCACCATTGGTGTCCAGTAGAAAACCCTGTCTCCTGACTTACAGGTTCAGGATAGGTGGACAGCTTTCCCACCGAGGAATGTTAGCCCTTTGGCTTGGTCTGTTTGAAATTGCTGACGTGCTCTTTGCCAGGGGAATACGGTCACACAGAACTTGCCGGGAAGAACTCCAGCGGCCTTTTGTTCTCACTTCAGTTACAGGAGGGGACCCAAAGCCCGGCCAGAAAGCTTGCAGAGGTCCAGGCCTCAGGCCAGATGTTTGGCCCGTGGCCTCAGGGCTCTTTGTATCTCTAAGGCTTTCATGTGCACAACACACATGCATCGTGCTGAAGCCACCTCACCACACAAGGTAGGCACTAGTTTTCACACTGGGATCGTCCATCCACCTGGGCAGGCAGTGTCCAACAGTCCGCTTTAGACATGGGGTTCATGCGTTTATTTATTTAATTTTATCTAATTTCATGTATTCTTTTGCCTGTCATCTTCTTTGGAGTCCAAAATTGTTCATCAAGCCAGCTTCCTTTTTTCCCATACTTCTCATACTTATCAAGGAGACCACAGGGAAAATATTTTTTAAACTATGTTTTTAATTCAGGCATTCTTCAGATGTGTGAATGTTTTCGTTGTTTGTTTGTTTTTTGGATTTAGTTGTGAACAGCCAGCATAGACTTACTCAAGGCTCAGTAGCTTTCAACACCTGTGACCATTTTTCTAGCCTCCAAAAGGCCCCGATGGCCCTCACTGCAGCCCTGCGATGGCCTGGCTGTTCTTCCATGCTGGGACCACATTCTGCCATCCACACTCTTGATGCCTGCAAACTATCCTCAGGACTCAGACCTAGCTTTGTTCCTGTCCACGGAAAGCCTGGTCTCCACCCACAGAAACTGAAACACATCTATCTGCGCACACCTCAGATGTTCAAAAGAAGAGTACCTGTCCTGACTGAAAGGGAGAAGTGAACGGCTTTTCCACCGTGGGATGATAGCACTTTAAATGAGTCTGGTAGTTTTACTAATTTGTGTTTTCCCGTTGATTGTAAACGTCCACTAGTTCAAGACCCCAATTTTTTTTTTTTTTTTTTTTTAAGACAGAGTCTTACTCTGTCGCCCAGGCTGGAGTACGGTGGCATGATCTCGGCTCACTGTAAACTCTGCCTCCCAAGTTCATGCAATTCTCGTGCCTCAGCCTCCCGAATAGCTGGGATGACTGGCTTGTGCCACCACACTTGGCTAATTTTTTGTATTTGTAGTAGAGACGGGGTTTCACCATGTTGGCCAGACTGGTCTCAAACTCTTGACCTCAAGTGATCTACCCGTCTTGGCCTCCCAAAGTGTTGGGATGACAGGCGTGAGCCACCATGCCGGGCCCATCCCCATCTTAATGAATGCCATACAGAGCAGATCTTTGCTTTCTTTATATCATGGTCACTTCTCTCTGATATATTACATAGAATGTAAAGTCAAGGGAGTTTAGACATCACCTATTTCCATGGCTGTGGAAACTAAAAGAGACACTGGTCATTTCAAGCCTTCTGTGCCCAGAATGCAGGGCTGTTCCCTGTGTTCTGGGCCACTGAGCTCCCTGGGGAAGAAGCTGCATCTGGCTAACAGGCTACAACCCCTCTGGACCAGTGTTGCAAAGGGAGGGGCGCCCAGCTGCCACACCAGCACAGGAACTCATACCATAGTCTTCTCAGTGTTCTGAGAGTGGGGGCTTCTCCCGTGCTTGAGCTCAGGTCACAGATCTCAGCCCAATACCCCTACACAGTGTGCTTGACTCCTGGGGCATTGAGACAAAGCCTGCAGTTTTGTGTTTGGCCCCTTGGGGTTGAACAATGACTGTCCAAGGGTCCAAACTGCTCCCAGGCCTTTGATAAAATGCTCAGGCTGGGCAGTGGAGGCTGTGCTGTGGGGTGAAGATGTGGAGAAAATGGAATCCTCATACACTGTTAGTGGGAATGTAGATGAGTACAACCACCATGGATAATAGTGTGGAGGTGCCTAAAAAAACCCTAAGACTAGAACTACCATATGATCCAGCAATCACACTGCTAGGTATATACCCCAAAGAAAGGAAATCAGTATATCAAAGAGAAATGTGCACATTTATGTTTATTGCAGCATTATTCACAATAGCTAAGATGTAGAAGCAATCTAAGTGCCCATCAACAGACAAATGGATTTTTGAAATGTGGTACACATACACTAATGAACTACTATTCAGCCATAAGAAGAATGAGATTCTGTGATTTGCAACAATACAGATGAAACTGAAGGACACTATGTTAAATGAAATAAGCCAGGCACAGAAAGACAGACTTATCATGCTCTCATTCATTTGTGAGAGCTAAAAATTAAAACACTTGAACTCGTGGAGGTAGAGCGTAGAATGATGGTTATCAGAGGCTGGGAAAGGGATTGGGGGTCAGGGAGAAGTGAGGATGGTTAATGGGTATAAAAATATAGTTACATAGAATAAGATCTGCTTTATAGCACAACAGGGTAACTATAGTCAACAATGATTTATAGTACATTTAAAAATAACTGAAAGAGTGTAACTGGAATGTTTATAACACCAAGAAATGATAAATGCTTGAGGTGATGAATTTAGCCTGATGTGATTACAATGCATTGTATGCTTCTATCAACGTATCTCCTGCAGTCCATAAATACATACACCTACTATGTACCCACAAAAACTAAAATAAGAAAAAGAAATACGGTACAAGAGATAGAGGTTACAAGTTAGACTACTTTGAATATACTTGTTTTACAGATTGATTTTGACATTATGTAAATATTCCGCATAATCACAAGACAAAATTAAATCTAAAAGAGTAATCTCTAAAACTTGAAAATAAAATAAACTCATATCCACTTGGTGTCACAAGTACTCACAGAGGGGCTATTCCTTGTGCTTTTATTTAAACACAAAACAATTTGGAGAAAATGTCTAAACTGTTCATAGTAATTATATGTAGTAGTATTGATATTTTGAGACTCATGCATGTATTGTGGATAAATCAAAATATTAGGATGATATCACTAAACCAAAAATCAAAATATTAGGATGATATCACTAAAACAAAAACAAAAATCTCAACAGAATTAAACTAGAAATCGATAAAAGGAAGGTAGCTGAAAATCCCCAAATACTTGGGAATTAAGGAGCACACTTCTAACAACACATGGGTGAAAGAAGAAATCTCAAAAGAAAATTTAATGAAAATGAAAACACAACTTTTCAAAAATTGTAGGAGGGAGAAAAAGCAGTACCTCATGAGAAATGTATACCAATGAATGCATATATTAAAGAAGAAAGTTTTAACACCAATAATCTAAACTTCCACAGCACAAAAAGGGAAAAGAAGAGCAAATAAAATTTAAAGCAAGCAGAAGAAAAGAAATAATTACATTTAGAAGAGACTCATTACAATTCAAAACAGGAAATCAAGAGAGAAAACCAAAGCTAGGTATTTGAAAAGGTCAAAAAAACCAATGAGCTAACTTAGAAAAAAAGAGAGAGGACACAGATTACTATTGTCAGAAACGAAACATCACTACATCACCTGTTCACATTCTCCATGGACATTAGGGTCAGTTTCTGGAGATTCATTCCCCGGCTTCATACGGGGCAGAATTGCACCAATGGGCCTTGCTAGATATTCTGGGGGCCTCTCTAACCTTTGTGGGGACACATCTTCTCTGGTCTTGTGCATGTCATTTTCTAGTTCCAGAGGTTTGCCACTTTTTCAGATTCTCATAATCTCTTGCTCCTTCTGGTGCCTGCCTGCACTACTGCAGGCTCTCTGGTACCGCGACAAGGTACTGAATTCTTCTTTGTTCTCCATGGCCCCCAGTTTTTAAAAGTAGGGGGATTTTCGGTCAGCACTCCACGTCATACAACACGCAGTTCGGTCCCTCAGGTCGCCCCCTGAAAAGCCAGAATGTTAGCCTTAGGTTCCCTTCTTAACTTCTATTCCTGAGGGAGAAGCCAAGAGTTAAACATTTTCTCCTGATCAAACCAAACTATGCCCACTTGAGAAAAGGGCTATATCATGGGTACAATACAACATCTTTTCTCATCCATTCGAATGCAGCTGTTCTTGGTTTGGCACTTGCCTGGGTTACTGCTGGTTTCTGGAGCCCTCCTAAAGGCTTGCAGGTTGCAGTCAAGATGTCAGCCAGGACTAGAGTCATCTCATAGGTGGAAGGTTCACTTCCAAGATGACTCAGTCATGTGCCTTTGGCTGAAGGCCTGTCAGTTCCTTGCCACATGTAGCTCCCCACAAAGCTGCCTGAAAGTCCTCACCACACAGCAGGTGGCTTTTGCTAGAGCTGTTGATCAGAGAGAGAGAGGGAGAGAGAGTTAAAGAGGTGGAGGAGGAGGAAGAGGAGGAAACAATGGTGCCTTGTATTACCTAGCTTTCTTCTTTTATTTTTTTCACCATCATGTTCATCTCTGATATTATCTAGTCTTCTAAGACACACACTATCACATCCACTTTCTCTGTTCATTAGAAATGTGCTCATAAGTCTAGCCCATATTCAAGGGGAGAAGCATTAGGCTTTACCTCTCAAAGGGGAAAAAATGAAATAATTGAAATAATTTTAACATATTTAACAATATATTTTAACATAACTACAAATATAAAACTTTAGTCATAAACACATTTCAATTTTTTCCTATTCTTATGCATTATCAAATGATTTACATATTAGCAGAATGTCCAAAGTTTTGGCTGATTTTTAATACATATTTGTTTTGTTATCTTAACATCAATAAGGTAATCTGAAGTGTATACTTGTAAAATATCATCTAGGCAGTCCTTGGACTCCTGTCTTCTTTCAAGTTTTCTCCGTGTCTGAAGAAAACAAGAGTTAGCTATTTTAAATAAAGGTGGTAATACAGAAATAATTAAGACTATAGTTGTATACTAATTACAAAACTTTAATATGTAAACAGTGAAAGGTAATGGTAAGAGAAGATGGTTTACTAAAGGGAGTAATTTAAACATAACAATGTATTTTTACTTAAATTCAGGTAAGATGAATCATATCTTAAAATTAAAGTTCAACTTTTAAATTCATTATCCACTTACATTCTTATGAGTTTATATATGTCTGAACACATATAATAGTCTATTAAAATAAATTTTGTAATGCCTGTGTAGATGAAGAAGAAATATTATGGTAAACTCAATGTTAGTGATTTTTATTCATTTCTAATAGGCTGATTTATAAAACCTTAACTAAAAATTATTATATCGAGTATACATAAAATGAGTAGATGTAGACTTGGGGTTTTCTTTAGTATTGTGACCAAACTATTATGTGCTCAAAGAGTTTCCCATTTAACAACAAAATAGTATGGCAACTCTCTTGATTTATGATAAACTCTTACATGGTTTTGACAAATATTTCTTTTTACTTTCTAAAATGAATAGATAAAGATCACTGCTACTGATTATTTTGAAATATTACTTATAATAACTGTATTTTGTTTATGCAACTACGACTTACATCATGACTGCTTCACCTAGCAATTATTCTTAACTTTGTGTTTCCTGTATTTGGCCCTAAATTTTCAATAATAAAATCACCCAAATGTTTTTTATGCTTATATTATCATTGCTGAAATGACCACCAGGTGGCACAAAATTTTGCCCTATAAATTGAACGAATAAGAAAATAATTAGATGTGTTTTGGCATTTTCCAAATTTAATAAGCTTAAAAGTATCATAAAAACTCTTCTTTTTACTTTTAAAAATTTAAGATGTATCCTAAAAAGGAACTTCAAGTAATCCATTTTATTCGTGAGTTCTACCAGAGTTCAAGAAAGAAATCATGTTACTTTAATTTTAAGAGCATAGAAAAAGATGGAGCATTTTAAAACTCATACAAAAAGACTAACATGACCATGACTGCAGATAAAGTAAGTATTCAAAGTATCAATAGCTTTCCTTACTTTGCCATAACAAATCACAAAAGAAAAGTAGATTACAATCACAATAGGAAAAAGTAGTTATTAAATTTATAGAAATGGACTAAAAATAAATAAGATGCACTTATTTAAGCAAACTGCAAATCTTTTATGAAAAATCTAAATCTAAATCCTGAGTGTGAAACATCAAAAAAAAAAAAAAAAAAAAGGAGATAATCTTAGTCCCGAAATTTCTATCTAAAAAGACGGAAATTTCAGGGAGTCAGAGGAAAAGGGTGGACTGGAGACAGGACCAACCTGCAGCTTCCACCTGGATGGACAGAACAGTGTGTGCAGAATCACACTGTGAACTTTTGCTCAAGAACAACTCCAGAAAAGAATTCACAGACCCTTTGAAAGCAGCATCTTGCTGCCTCAAACTCCAAGAGACAGCTGAGAACCTGAGAGCTCCCAAAGTGTGAGATGGGGAAAAGTCAGCCTCTGAACACACATCCCCATGGGGGAACCTGAAAATCCAGGTCATGAGAGAAGGAACTGACCTTACCTATAGCTGAAATGGATTTAGGTAGCTAAGTGAAATATACAAGTAGAAGAAGCAGCAGGGAGAGCCCTGTAGGCACTCACTGTCCCCAGCTCAAGACCAGGGAAGCCATTCCTGGCCATGTCTCACAGGGGTCCTTGGGGACGGCAGCCAGCAAAACTAGGGAGGGGCACAGAGTGAAGGACACTCCTAGTTGAACCTGATAATAATTTCCACTGAGCAAAAATTTTCTTGAGCAGAATTGGGGTGGGGGAGCCAATGGGAAGTGCAGATACCAGCACAGAAGTTGCAGCCAAAGGTGCAGGCAGATGGGGAGAGGTGAGGCCTGGGAGCCATGCTTTCTTTCTCAGTGGGGAGGCTTATAGCCTAGGGCAGGATTTCAGTCCTGCTTGCCGGCTGCCTGGATGTACACTCAGTGCTGTGACTGGGGCACAGCGAGAGTGAGATGGCCTTGCTGGCTGTGTGGGAGCTGGGCGAACCAGCTTTCCTCCACTTTCAGGCAACCTTTATGATGTAGTAGAAGCAGCCATAATCTCCCTAATAACATAACTCCACTGGCCTGGGAACCACTACCCCATATGCCACAGTGGCTGCAGCAAGCACCATCCAAGGAGAGTCTGAGCTCAGACCCACCTACCTGTGTCCTCACCTGATGGTTTTTCTCTACCCGTCCTGATAGCCAAAGACAAATGACATGAACTCTTGGGAGCTCAATGGCCCCACCCATCACCTGGGAAACCCAAGTATTTATCCTGGCCAATCTAGGGCAAGCTTACATCCCCCTTCTACCGCAGCTGGTGCTGTCTTGCAAGTGCCACCTGCCGGCTGAAGGCCAACCAACTCAAGCTATTACAGCAACTCATACCAGAACAATCCTGCTCCAAAGAAGATAACCAGAGCTGTGTCCCCAATCAGCTTCACTCCTAGCACAACTAGCATTCAAGAAAGCCAGTGCACTAAACAAAACTACAACCAAGGACTCCCACAGAGTCCACTTCACTTCCCTGCCACCTCCACTGAAGCAGGTGCTGGTATCCACGGGTGGGAGACCCGAAGACAAATCACATCACAGGACTCTTTGCAGACATCCCCAGTACCACTCTGGAGGATGGTAGCACTGCTGGGTAGCTAGACCCAGAAGGGCAGTAACAATCAGTGAAGTCTGGCTCTCAGGAAGCTCCATCCCTAGAAAAAGGAGAATACCACATCAAGGGATCACCTCGTGGGGAAAAAACCCTGAACAACTGCCCTTGAGTTCCAGATCTTTTCACTGAAACAGTCTACCTAAATAAAAAGAAATCAGAAAAGTAATTCTGGTAATATGACAAATCAAGGTTCTGTAACACCTCAAAAACATCACAGTAGCTCTCCAGCAATGGATGCAAACCAAGACGAAATCTCTGAATTACCAGAAAAAGAATTCAGAAAGTTAATTATTAAGCTACTCAAGGAGGCACCAGAGAAAGGTGAAAACCAATTTAAATTTTAAAAACAAGTTCTGAGGAGAAAAATGGCAGATGGGAAGCAGGACTAGATTCCAGCTCCCACTTAGACGAAGACAGCAGTGTGTGGAGACATGCATCACGAATTTTTGCTCCAGAACTACTGCAGGAATAATTCACGAAAGTCAGGAAAACCCACAGACCTTCTGAAGAAGTGGATTGCTCCTGCAGGACCAGGGAAACAGCTCAAATACTGTGAGTGCCCAAATTGTGAAAGTGAGAAACAGGGAGCATCTGCCCCTGAACACATACCCTCATTGGGAAACCTGAAGGTCTAGATCATAGGAGAAGGATCCAATCTTACCTGAAGCTGAGTCAATTTAGAGATCTGAGCAAAACACAGGGGTAAAGGAAGCAGCAGAAAAAGCCCTGTGGGCTCTCTGGGTCCCTTGGGAAGCTATTTAATACCTGTCTCACAGGTGTCCTTGGGGAGAGCTGCCAGAGTTACTGGGAAAATACCACAGTGAGAAGGAAAGCTCCAGCTGAACGTTGTAACAATTCCAACTGAATGTGAAGTCTCCTAGCCAAAACCTGGGGGAGGGCACGAATCCTGTGTGTAGACCCAACAGGTGGGGAAGCATGAAAGCCCTGCTTGCTTTTGCACCTGGGAGGCTGGTAGCCTGGGGCAAGTTCTCAGCCTTGCTCACTCACTTCCTGAAAACAGACTTAGAGCTGTTGGTGGGGGTGCACAGTGGGAGTGAGACCTTTTGGGTTGCATGGGAGATGGGTGAAGCCTGTGACTGCCAGCTTTCCCCAGCTTCCCTGACAACCTGCATGACACAGCAGAGGCAGCAATCCTCCTAGGAACATAACTCCATTGACCTGGGAACCACATCTTCATCTCCCAGAGCAACTGCAGCAAGACCTGCCCAAGGAGAATCTGAGCTCAGACATGCCTAGCCCTGCCCCCACCCGACTGTCCTTCCCTACCTACCCTGGTAGCTGAAGACAAAAGACATGTACTTGGGAGTTCTAGGGCCCCACCTGCTGTCTATTCTCCTTATACTATCACAACTGTTGCTCTCTTGAAAGCGTCACCTACTGGCAAGAGGCCAACCAGCACAAAAATAGTGCATTAAACAACTAAAACTAAGGACCCTCACAGAGTCCATTTCACTCCCCTGCCACCTTCACCGGAGCAGGTGCTGGTATCCATGGCTGAGACACCTGCAGACAGTCTACATCACAGGACTCCGTGCAGACACCCCCCAGTACTAGCCTGGAGCCTGGCAGCCCTGTTGGGTGGCTAGATCCAGAAGAGAGAGAACAATCACTACAGCTCCGCTCTCAGGAAGCCACATCCCTAGGAAAAAAGAGAGAGTACTACATCACAGGAATAGCTTGTGAGACAAAATAATCTGAACAGCAGCCTTGAGCCCTAGATCTTCCCTCTGACATAGCCTACCCAAATGAGAAGGAAACAGATAAACAATTCTGGTAATATGACAAAACAAGGTTCTTTAACACCTCCAAAAAATCACACTAGCTCAACAGCAATGGATCCAAACCAAGAAGAAATGCCTGATTTAACTGAAAAAGAATTCAGAAGTTCAGTTATTAAGCTAATTAAGGAGGCACCAGAGAAAGGTGAAGTCCAATTTAAGGATATCCAAAAAATGATACAAGAAATGAGGGGAGATATCTTCAGTGAAATAGATAGCATAAATAAAAAACAATCACAGCTTCAGGAAATAAAGGATACACTTTGAGAATTGAAAAATGTTCTGGAAACTCTCAGCAATAGAATCAAACAAGCAGAAGAAAGAATTTCAGAGCTCAAAGACAAAGTTATTGAATTAACTCAACCCAACCAAGACAATGAAAAAAGAATAAGAAAAACTGATCAAAGCCTCCAAGAAGTTTGGGATTATGTTAAGTGACCAAACCTAAGAATGATTGGCGTTCCTGAGAAAGAACAGAAACCTACAAGTCTGGAAAACATATTCTGGGAAATAATCAAGGAACACTTCTCCAGCCTTGCTAGAGGCCTATACATTCAAATAAAATAAGCCAAAAGGACATCTGGGAAAT